CACAAGGAATGGGCCTGACAGAAGTCTCTGCCCTTTCCAAGTGTGGGAGCTGGGTCTCCCTCGATGGGAGTTAGGCTGGGATGTATGTCCAGTGAGCCTTAAGGAAAGTGGCTATGGGCTGAAGCCGGACAAGACAAGACCTGGCCGCCATACCCCTCTGCTTGCCCCAGTCGTGTTTGGATATGCTTCAAGAGGCTGTCTGTTCTCTAGTCCTGAGAAACTAGAATGTAGGGTCTTTGTAAGCTCATCCAGTATTCCCATGGGTTACTTAATGGAACTCAATGCACTATTAGTTCCTGAAACCCCAACAACCCCCAACAATGAGTCAACAGATGAAAACATCTCCCTCATCTGCTACCCAAGTTCCTAACGAAACTCTCAAGACAAAGCCCTAGGGCTCTCCCATCCCTATCTCTTGGTACCTCAGAGAGAATTTCAGAAGCATGGTCCCAGGAGACTTGGGGCAAGAGAATTGCTTTTCTTGGGGCTGATAAATATCCAAAGCTCTAAAGTCTGGAGTTTATGAGATTGAATTTTTTTTTCCTGGGCCATTTCCCAAGCCAAAGGAATCGCTGTCCTCAGCTTCAAGCAACATGGCAATCATTTGAGGTTTTTTCTGATACTAGAGAAGCCTGAATTTTCCTTGCTTTGTACATTTTAGCTTCCCTGGTACATGGCTCTTGAACACAAGGTGTTTTTACTGGCTTCCTTTGAATAGATTCAGCCCTTTCGATGGCTTTTAAAAAATCACTGTCTGGAAAGTGATTCCTTCTTCCTTTCGCCGAGGTCAGGAGCAGTGAGTGGCTGCGGGTGGGACTTCAGTGAAAATGGAGTGAGTGGCATGTGTGTTTTCTAACTTGTTATTATTTTCCAAGTTTTTCATTATTTTTTGACTGTATTGATTCTCATGCCGCTAATATTATCTTTTCTTCATGCTGATCTTGCTGTGGTGATGGATTCAAGGACATGAGAGAGGACATGACAGTAATCTTCCACTGTCGGGCTGAAAAGGAAATAGAAGGTGAGATATTGTAGGGAGGTGGCACATTGCAGGGAGACAGACATCGAGTCAAGAGAAAGTGATAGTATCTAAGAATTAAGGCCACTCAAAAATAGAATTGATAATAGTATATCTATGCGGATCTGTATAGTCGGGGAGGGTGCACCGCTGGTAACGAAGATTGGGATAGATCGACTCCACTGTTATGAAGAATATTCAAGGTATAATATTAAGTGAAAGAATTGGTATGCGCAGTTTAATTTCTTTGGGTAAAATTGAAATGATATGGAAATACGCACAATGGTACTTAAAACTTTCTAGACAAAATTTATTTTATTTTTTAAATCTTTCTTAAAATAAATATTTTTTTTGAGAGAGAGAGAGAGCACACACAAGCAGGAGAGGGTCAGAGAGAGAGGGAGAGAGAGACTCTCAAGCAGGCTCCGTGCTGTCAGCCCAGAGCCCAACGCGGGGCTTGAACTCAGGGAACCGTGAGATCATGGCCTGAGCCGAAATCAAGAGTCGGCTGGGCTGCTTAATCAACTGAGCCACCCAGGCGTCCCTAGATGGAAATTTTAAAAAGAAACAAACGTGAATCATGTATACCCCTGGACCAGAAAATGCAAAGCACAGAAGGGGAAAACTAACTTTCTCGTTTATACCCTTTGTACAGATGGCAGTTTTTCCCCTGAAGCATTTTTATAATACAAAAAAACCTAGTTTTATTTTTTTGAGTAAATTTAGTACCTTAAAAAAAAAGAGTGGATGCTAACTTGTAAGATAATGAATTTCTAATCAGTGGAAGCACTGAAGCAGAATTTGGGGAAATATTTGTGAGGAATGCTTGCTTTTAAAATTACCTCCTGGTGCTAAGGTCCCGTGATTCCGTTATATTAAAGGACTTAACGCCACCAAGCACGTGCATTTTCCCAGCTTGCTTCCCCCTGGAAAGACTTGAATAATGAAATGGATAAGATTAACCCATTGTCCAGGATTGCTTGTCAGGTGGAAGCAGGATATGATTTCTCTGGAAGGAAATATTTGACTTTTTTCAGCGTGGAGGGATGTTTTTGGCTAAAGATCCAGAATCCAAGAAAACAAAAGGGCTGTAAAGTGTTGCTCTTCTCAGTGATATGGATTCCACAGAGGTAGGCTGCCATTTTGTTTCTGCTGTCATGAGCTTACTATCCTCGTTAACACTCATCAGGTCTTTACCGTCTGGACGAGTCCTTGTTTTCCTGAGGGGGTGATGAGAGAAGAGATGACATTCCAGGGATGCACAAGCTCAATTCAGTCTTTTCTCTTCTCTACCTCACTTACCTTCTTATCCCCCTTAGCGGAGGTAGGATTGACTTTCCAGTTGCCTAAGACTGGGGTTTCACCTTGTTCAGTAACACATCATGAATCTCAGTTAAATAGCAGTGGTTAAAGACTAGCCTAGCACCACCTCTCAAAGGAAAATGAACACATACTTTGCTCTCCACTTTCCCCTATATTTTGCAAATACTTTATATTTTCCTGTTCTTCAAAAATCTGTAGTAAGGAAATTCCAAAATCTGCCCTTACTTAGCTGCTTGCATCCCGTGGTGGTGATAGTCAGAATTGATCCTGCCTTTTTCTTTTTAACATTACTCTCTGTTTTAAAATTTTTTTAAGTTTATTTATTTTTAGACTGAGAATGAGAGCACAAGCAGGTGAGGGACAGAGAGAAGGAGAGGCAGAATCCCAAGCAGGTTCCCTGCCATCAGCACAGAGCCTGATGGAGGGCTCAAACTCACAAGCTGTAAGATTGGGACCTGAGCCAAGATCAAGGGTTGGACGCTTAACTGACTACGCCATCCAGGCACCCCAGATCCTGCCTTTATTTAAAATTTCAATATTTTGATCATCATGGATTTTTGCTTAATTAGCTTTTTAAAACAATATTGCATTAAAATTGTCTTCATCTTGGGGCGCCTGGGTGGCTCAGTCAGTTAAGTGTCTGACTTTGGTTCAGGTCATGATCTCGCCGTTTGTGAGTTCGAGCCCTGCATCGGGCTCTGTGCTGACAGCTCAGAGCCTGGAGCCTGCTTCAGATTCTGTGTCTCCCTCTTTCTGCTCCTTCCCCGCTCGCTCTCTGTCTTGCTTCAAAATAAATAAATGCTAAATTTTTTTTTTTAAATTATCTTCATCTTGATTGCTGAGTATTTTTGGTGCTCCCTTACATTTTGTGCCCGAGATGAGGGCCTCATGTACCACATTTCACTTCCAGCACTGTCCAAAAAGGTTTTTTTTTTTTTTTTTTTTTTACCAACTACAATCTTTCTTTAAAAACCGAAGTTGGGCACCTGGGTGGCTCAGTGGGTTAAGCGGTTAAGTGACTCTTGGTTTCGGCTCAGGTCATGATCTCAAGGTTTTGTGCGTTTGAGCCCTGGGTCTGGCTCTGCACTGGCAGCAAGGAGCCTGCTTGGGATTCTCTCTCTCCCTCAAAATAAATAAATGTACTTAAAAAAATAATTAAAAATAAAAAAAAAATTTTAATGAAGTTAATCTCCTCTGGATCTGGCTGTTGGGTGCCCAAATTTCTATGAAGTGCCTGTTCAGAGACCAACTTAGTCTCATGTGAGACTGTCAGCTTTCTCTTCTCTAGGGTCTGTTAACCCACTTTTACCTTTTCTCTTCAATCTTCTGCACAACCTCATTGCAGGGTCTCCCTGGAAGAAGAATTGAACAATTAGCAAATTTTTTGGTATGTTTAGAAGAGAAACTGTTAAGAAGAAAATCTGGATTATAATGGAGAGTATAAAAAGAAAAAATAATTTGAGATTCTCCATTTACTATCCAGAAAAAATATTTTTAGCATTTTGGTATATTTACTTCCAACCCATTTTTAGTGGTGTGTGTACCATTCCATGGGTTTCCTTTCTTTATTCCTTCTTTTTTCTTTTCTTTTTCTTTTTGAAAAATTATGGACTGCCTATTTCTCTTTTTCTTTCTTTCTTTCTTTCTTTCTTTCTTTCTTTCTTTCTTTCTTTCTATCTATTGTATAGACATGTATATTATGTGTGCACTTATTAGACATGTATTTGTTGCATAATTCCTATCAGATGGATATATTATAATTCATTCTTCATTTATTTGTATTGTTTTTCATATTATTATAAATAATCTCCTAAAAGCTTCTTATACATATATCCTGATACGTATCTGTGATTATTTCTTTAAAATAAATAATTGGAAGTAGAAGTATTAAGTCAAAGAGAATGGACACTCATTGTCACTAATATGCTAATATTCCATTTACTTACCAAGGAAAACATCCTAAAATTTTTTCCAGTTTCCCAGTGTTTTCCAGATTTTCTATTTTCTCCCCCATGCAAACTCATTCCCAGAGTGAGGAAAATGCATTTGCTCTTTCCAATAAGAAATCTGGAAAAAAAAAAAGCGGTCTTCTTTCTCACCTGTTTTGTAGCCATGAGGCTACTTTGGGCAGTTGTGGGATAGGACAAATCACATTGTCTTTCAAATGGGAGGATTGGGTCTATGATGTACTAATTTGGGGCAAACCACTGAACCCTAAGTGTCTTAGATGCTCCATCTGCAAAATGGGAATAATAGTTATCTAATATATGAGATTGATATGCCATTAAATAATACATACAAAACCTCTTTATAAACTAGAAAGTGCCATAAGGGACCATTCTTGTCTTCTATTATTATTAGCATTTTACTACTCTTTTTTAAAATACTGGTCTCTAAAATCCCCCAGATAGGGAATAGGGAGAGAAGGCAAACTGGTGTCTTCAAAGGTCCCCAGTTTATAATTCTGAAGGAATTAGAAAAGAGGGGCTCGGCGTCTACTCATGAGTCAGCCTACCCGTGAAAATTCACAGCCAAGCTCAAGCTGGAAAACACGCAAATACACACGGGACTCGAGAACCAGTTAGGGAACAACATGTAGCGACTGACCTACACCAAACTAGGACACCTCTTCCAAACTTGCCCTGGGTGTTTTCCGCCTCTCACCTACAGGCGCAGGAGGCCCCATTACCTGGCACATCTGAGGGGCAGGTCCTTGTTGCCCCTTCTTCTAGTCCTGAGTGGGCGCTGGGTGCTGGCCCGGTCTGACTGACTGAGTCTCCATCCCTTAGACACAGCATTCATCGATGAAGAGAGAGAACCATACCGCGGTGGGTGAATTTGTTCTCCAGGGTTTTTCCAGCTTTCGTGAACACAAGATCATCCTCTTTGTGATATTTCTTACCTTGTACCTTTTAACTCTGGCTGGCAATGTCATCATTGTGACAGTCATCAGCTTTGCTCGTCACCTGCACACCCCCATGTACTTCTTCCTTGGTGTTCTTTCCACTTCTGAGACTGTCTACACACTGGTCATTGTACCGCGGATGCTTTGCAGCCTCACAGGCCTGAGTCAGCCCATCTCCTTGGCTGGCTGTGCCACCCAGATGTTCTTCTTCATCACCTTGGCCATCAACAACTGCTTCCTGCTCACGGCGATGGGGTACGACCACTATGTGGCCATCTGCAACCCCTTGAGGTACACGGTCATCATGAACAAGAGGGCGTGTGCCCTGCTCGTATCAGGGGCTTGCAGTATTGGGCTGTTTGTGGCCATAATTCAGATTTCCTCTGTATTCAGACTGCCCTTTTGGGACAGAGAGGTGGCCCACTATTTCTGTGACATCCGCCCAGTTATGAAACTCTCCTGTGCTGATACCACTCTACATGACATAATTAATTTTATCATCAGCTCACTCGTTATTGTGGTTCCCATGGGCCTGGTCTTCATCTCCTATGTCCTCATCGTCTCCACCATCCTCAAGATCCCCTCCGCCCGGGGCCGGAAGAAGGCCTTTGCCACCTGCGCCTCTCACCTCACGGTGGTCGTCGTCCACTACGGCTGTGCCTCCGTCGCCTACCTCAAGCCCAAGTCAGAGAACACCAAGGATCAGGACCAGCTGATCTCGGTGACCTACACCGTCATCACCCCCCTGCTGAACCCGGTTGTATACACCCTGAGGAACAAGGAGGTCAAGGATGCTCTTCACCGTGCTATTCGCAAAAACCCTCTTGCTTAGGATCTATGGCAGTTTGCCTGTCATCTTCTGGGTATTTCATAATCTCAAAAAAAAAAAAATTGGATTTATTCTCTACGCAGAAAAAGTTGCAGGATGTGGTGGTGGCTTCAGTGAGGAGTCTAGAGTTGCCCTGACTTGAAGTTAATTTTCATCATCATGGTCCCATGCCTTCTACTAATCTCGGAGGTTACCTCCAGAGGCACTGCTCGGAAGGTGGAGAGCTGGTCAGGAACGACAACGTAGAGGGTGGCTCATCATTACCGGTTTGCTGATGGAAGGAAACTGGGCTGTATAATACCTATTTGGAGTGAGGGGTTGAGAGAGCCGCCTGAATGCCAGGCAGATCCTGAGCTCTGGAATATCAAGAGAGCATGACTGGTGCACAGGATGTGCTGGAAACACAGTCAAAACTACGTTCCCACTTCTCATCACTTTTCCTCTGCTCAGTGACAAGAGTAACAGACCGTGACATTCCAGAAGAAATATCCTCTGCCTTAACATGCTCGCCTGTCTTGGAGACCCATGAGATTTCTTCCGGTTCTACTGAAGCTTGCACTAGAGCTGTCTCCTTGGTGAGTCTCGTATATCCACATGTGCATAAGGAGGCTGACCCATCCGGCCACCGCATTCCACCCGCCTGTGAAGTGACACACACGTGCCGCATTCACGAGTGTGGGGCTCTCTGAAGACCTCTTTGGGGAACTAAATGTATCAGCTCCACTTCCCAACTCACTTTGGCTATCTCGGATCTGGGTAATTAGCGTGTGTGAAGCCTGAGCAGAAACATGTGTCCTGCCTTCCCTTCCTCATTTCTGCATGGCTGAATTCATTGTCCGTCAACAGTTGGGTGCCTACTTCCTCAGTGTGATCACTTATCCAGATGCAGTCTGGATACCTCCAAGTTCCTATCACTACGGCCTTCTGAAGGGGGAAATTGTACTGATTTGTAAGAAAGGTGTAAGGTTTTAGGGATATTTGGCCTCGTGTGGAAAAGGGGCAGAACTTGCCAGATGTCTTCCTGTCTGTAAAAGGGTGACATTAAATGATCATCATTAGCCAGATTGGGGAATCTGCCAATTCACCAGCCAGCCTTCTCCCACTCCAGGGCAGTCCAAGTGGTGGCTCCCTGGTGGTCTAGTGGTTAGGATTCGGTCTCAAGGGCAGTCCAAGTGTCCCTACTGAGGATGGGTTGAGAGTGTATGTCCGACAGGCAGCTCGGGGAACCCTAATGGTAGAGGAGCCAAGAAGGGAGATCCTCATATTTACAGAGCATTACCTGAAAGAGTGAAAGCTTTGCCTCCTCGCTGCAGCTGCCTTATCTTTGGCCTTATCTGGCTTCCCTGAGAACACCATGGAATCCCATCTGGGCCATGAGGTTCAAGGAAAACACTCTCATGGGTCTGCTTCTCAGAAAGCCCCACTGGAGATCCTCTCTTTGGGGGTCCTGCTCACTGTAGCAGGCCCATTCCCTAAAGCTGTACCCAATACGACTCATTTTTATAGATCTCTGAATTTTTGCACATATTCCCCCTGCCAGGACATTCCACAACTGCCCAGGGCTTTATAAGATTGGTGCCCATATTGAAAACAGTGGGTTCCCCTGAGTTCCTATAGTTCGATGCTGCAGAAAATTATGGGGTTATTTTCCCAAAGTAATGTTTGCAACAATAAAGAATGTGTGTGAACGGTATACCCATCCTTTGTCTTTTTAAAAAAAAAAAAATGTAGTTTAAGGGTGCCTGAGTGGCTCAGTCAGTTAAGCATCCAACGCTTGATTTCAGTTCAGGTCATGATCTCACAGTTCATGGGCTTGAGTCCTGCATTGGGCTCCTTGCTGTCAGTGCAGAGCATGCTGGGGATTCTCTCTCTTTCCCTCTCTCTCTGCCCCTCCCCTGCTCTCTCTCTCTCTCTCAAATAAATAAACTTAAAAAAAATTGAATGAAAAATAAAATGTGGTTTATACCATTATAACAGAGCCGGAAAAAAAATTAAGCCAGCGCATTTAATTTCAAAGAGAATGTGTGACTAATTCTCACCCAACACAAATCATGTCTGAACAGAGTGAAGCTGAGGCCCACACCTTGGGCTTAGTCACCGCAGCGTAGCCATTATCTTTAGAAGTCAGCGCCTACCAGGTCAGGGCAGTAACACCAGGCTCCCAACTCCTTTAGGGAGAAAGCTTGATCCCAAGGACCCATCCCTTCTCTCCCCAACGAAGGATTGTTTTGCGTCAGAGCATCCCTCAAAGGAATCCTTCTCTTGTTCCAGAATGTTCTTTGCCTCTGTAAAGACACAGAACCCCCCTTCTCACACCCGTCCTCCTCCTCCCCATCCAGAGTTCAGCCATCCTGGAGCAGGCTCCTCGCTGGCACAGACATGGAATCGGGCACGAGGGGACCAGCTCAAGCTCAGTCACTATAGAAGCACATGTTGTGTGAAGGCGCAGGTTTTGGCACAGCTGTCCTGCTAGAAGAGGAAGTGTCCTACATCAACCCCCGTTTCCATCTTCTCGCAGATCTCATCCGTGTACAGGCAGCAAACACTAGTCGTGGAACAGGAAACCCAGCTGACTCATCCAGGGTAACTGATAACAGCCCAGAGCACCCCACATCCCCCACCGCCGATCACGCTCTGTGACGTCTCCCACGGGACACTTGCGTCTGCGGTGAGGGCATTGCAATGGCTCTTCCGGAGCCACGGCTTGGCTGTGCTGGACCCGTGCTCTGAGCCAGAACACATCTGATGAGAGGAACAGTGTGCATGCCCCGAGACCCCCTCCTCTGCACTCCCCTTGTGCAGCTCTTGGGTCCAGGACCAGCTTCCCACCGCGTGTCCCCCATGGCTGCAACGTCAGGATCCCGGGATTACTTACCATAGACTTATTTCCACTTAAGCCTCCTGAGAGAAGAGGGCTTAATCATCATAAAATCAACTGTTTTTCTCTCTTGCTTAGGAAAGCAAATTTAACAAATATTATGGTCTGGAAATAAATTAGAGAAAAACGGCTAACTTAATCAAGGGAGGCACAGTCTAGAAGCTCTATGAAGTCCTGAAGTGAGTGAGTTTTGCTGTATAGTAGGAAATGTGAAAACAGCATGTACTCTTGTTTCCTTAGATACAAAGGTTTCTTAAAATTCTCACCCTAGACAAAGAATAGGAAGAGAGAATTTAGGGAGAGGGAGCTAGGGAGAGATTATAGACTTTAATATTGAGAGAGAGAAGGAGAGCACCTGTCGGGAGTGGGGGGGGGGTGGGGAGAGGAAAGGAAGGGAGAGAGCGAGCGAGCCCTTCACTCAGTACAGCAGGAATTAGGGGAATGACATAGTCCCTGTGATCTAATTATCCCCTGTGTGTGATTTGTGACCTTGCTAATGTACGAACCTGGGGCAAAATAGCGTGGTTAGCCCAAGAGTGCTTTGAATACCTGATCAGCAGTAGTGACATGATAGAGAGGGTGAGCGTCTCGAACTTGAGAAGATGAGGCTGTATTTAATGGCAGGAATAGGAAAAAAAAAACAAAGGGTGCCAGGACATTTAACGCGTTGTTTTTGCCGCTAACGGAAACTAACTTTCTGTAACGTTTGCCCGTCACAGAGTCCATTTTGCTTTTAACTGGCCTCACCCAACCTTCAAACCAACTCTTTCTAGACTCATATAATTTTTAATCCCTATTTCATAGGTGGAAAAACGGAGGATCGGGGTTCAGTGACCTCACAAAGCTCCCTATGAGGTTTTGTATTCCTTCCTCCCTGCCCTGTGACCCAGACTGAAGGATTGAGAAGGATCATAGACGGAACGCCCCAACCCCACAGTAACTTCTCTTTTTCTAGCAAAAGCTGCCCGTCCCTTTTTGTCCCCTCAGCTCAGAGGCAATGGTGTTCCCACCCAGTAAGCACCCCACTCTCCTTTCTCTATCCTGGGCCTTCCTTATGCCAGGCAAATCCTTACTCCCCAGCATCTGTGGTGGTTTTAAAACTATGTCTCAAAATAACTCTCCTCTCCTTGATTGTGGGTTAACTCACTTGTACTGAGGGGAATACAGCCCAACCGAGGTGCATGGTTTCCAAGATCGGACTGCAGGAAGACTGACTTCCATGCTAGGCCCTTTCCCCCTCTGTGCTGGTTGCTCCCTGTTGGGGAAGCAGGCGCCATGTGGTGTCGAAAGGCCCGCGTGGTGAGGAGTGAAGTAGCCGGTGAGGATCAGAAGCCCCCAACCCAACAGAATGGACCCTGACGATGGCCACGTGGGCCAGCGTGGATGCAGGGTCTTCTCCTGGTCAAGCCTGAGGTGAAGGTCCTCCCTGATTTTTGACCCACAGAAAGCGTGAGATACGAAGGGCTTGTGTTCAAAGCTGGGGGGTTTTGAGGGGCTTGGCCTGCAGCGGTGGGTAACTTCTAAGTCATCCTTCATTCCATTTTCCTTAAAACAGCAGCAGCCACAGCAACACCACAAGGTGCCACGCTCCTGTCCCCCTGGGGATGTTGGGAAATGTCTTCCCAACAAGGCTTACCACCTGCCTGACTGTCACATCTCCTCCTGGTGAGGAGCAAGGCACCCACAGGAAGCTTCTCCACCGAGCTCTCCTTGGGTCTCAGGAGCAATGCCCCCCACCCGTCTGGCTCCCTAGTTATGTGTTTAGGGACACCGCCTTTGTTCCAGCAACAGAGGACAGTGTTTTTATTGATTTAATTACCTGAACCGGGATATGATTAGAAATAAATGTGTTTACTTCGCTATGTCGTTTCAGTCGTACAGTCCTTCCTTTTTCTTTTAACCGTTCTCCTTCCCGCCGAGCTGCCCTGTTCATGCCTCCAAGGAAAGAGAAGCTACACCCTCCTAAAGGGACATTCTGTTGCCTGATGTGTGTAAGGAATTGTGGCACTGGATTGTTTGTTCTGTAAGCTGAGCATCGTTGCGGAGCTGCTGGAGGAACAGTTCCCTTCCAGGCTTAGGGCTGGAGTGTCACCAGCAGACCAAGGACAGTCAGTGGTTCAAGTGG